AATTTAGTTGCAGCCTATGATCTCTCTTTTATTATTATTGTTGTTATTATTACTTCTGCTGTAGTTAATAAAGAATTCACTTCTGGTGGGTAACCAGGATGTGTAAAAATCGTATGTCCTTGTGCCTAACATGACATAGTAGTTACATAACCATAAATAATAATCTAAGCTACAAGAATGAGTTCTAGCCATGTCTAAATCATGTGACTTTATATACTGTTATTCTTGCAGATTTTGCTGTTGTTGAGATAGCAGAGTATATCTAATTCTTCAGTGAGTCTGACTTTTTTTGAAACTTAATGTTTCATGTTATTTTAGTCTCTGGTAGTTGCTGTAGTTGCTACAGTAATTCATGACACATGTTTAAGCAGCCAAATAGAAACCCAAGTATACCAACACCATATGCTTTCTCAGCTATACATTACATCCGTTAACTTTACTACTCAAGCTGTATGAGCTGTTAAAACCCTTCAATTTGTTGGTTTCTTCTTCCCTTCTCCTGCCTCTTTCTTCCTTTCTTCCCCTTCTTGTCCCCCTAATTCTCTTCCTCCTTTGTCCTCCTATCCTTCGTCTTTTCCCATGCTCTTTCCCCTTCCTTTAGTCATAGCTTTATAAAAATGCACAGATAAAGTAGCAAACAAAAGCAAATAAACAAGTTGTGCTTACAGTTTTTGTTTGCCTGAAGTATTACCTTGAATTAAACCAGCTAGAATGTCTCTATTTTATAAACTTACATTTTTATTTTAATTATCAATTGTTTTTATAAGGTCATTCCTGACTTTAGAATTTTACTTCACTGGATATGTAGCAACTACAGAATGAATGAGTTTTTAATTGAATCAGTTTTTATTGTCTTGTTAGCAATTTCATGTGGTTAAATGCTTTATTTTCTTAAACATGGGACAGCACTATCAAGATTGTAAATACTGATTCCCTCCCATGCCTTTTTTTAAACATGAATTTGTGAGGATAGATATTTTCTTCTTACATGAACTCCTTCTTGACCAGAGCCAGGTGGTATATAAATGTCATCCTATAAATAAGAAAAGACTATGTCTTTCATAATATAGTTCTTAATAATCTGATGGAATAATCCATAATAATTGGATTTGGAAAATACATTGTAAGGATTTTATCTAAGATCATATTGGTTATATGTATAACTAGAATATACTTAGTATAAGTGAAATAATGAATATGTAGTGCTTAGGAAATAGTGAATGTCACCGTTTATCTTGATTATAGACCTGTAGGATGAACATATACAGAAAAAAAATGCATATGATTAGCCAGGCACTCTGCTAGAGTCTGTTTATAAATATGTTTAAATAATTTTATTTTCTAAGTTAATATGTCAGCATAAATCAGATTGAAGTGCAAGTATGATTTTCATGTTAGTACCATGCAGTTTGACTACATGTTTCTATTGTAATTTCTCCTGTTTTGTGATTATATATTAATATACTGAAGAACACTAATAAGTGGAGTGAAGGGCATAGTAATTCCTTTAGTTGGAATATACTGGGAATAACACCTAGAAAGACATGATGATCAAAAACGATAGGTTTTGGTGTGATTTTCACATGAAAAACTTTGTTCACTAGCTTCTTAAAATGTAACATCATTAAATTCCAAAAAAGGAAGATAAAAAACGTTTATTGGATTCTTGAAAAAAAAATCTTACCTAAAAACAATAGTTATAGTCTGTTAGGCAGCCAGAGTTTCAGAATTAGTGTTAATACTCCACTTCTTTAGATTTCTTGCTGTTTTTAACTTAAAATTTGGATGGGTCATGCATGTTTTAAAAAGTGCCTTCTTTAGCAAAACTTATTTCACAGATAGCTGACTAGCAAGCCTTTAAAGGAACAGAGGTTCATTCCATTTTAATTCAGCCTCCAAAACTTTCAGGCCCTTGAAGTTTGTGGCTGAGCTCTCATTTTTGCCAAATTGGGCAAGAAACTTTATAAGAACAAATTTTATGATATATTATGCCTTCAATTATAGTTCAGCTTAGCTGGAAACCCGTTTTTCTTACTGTATGCCAACATTTTATTTTCCTCTGTTAGGCTCTACCCGGGAACTGATACAATAAAGAGCATTTGTGTTAAAATTATGGAAAGCAGAGAATTTGTCATAAATCAACAGATTAAGATCAGTTTCTGTTAAATATGGAATGAAAATGATATATTAGTCAAAGTCACTTATTTGAAAAAAAAAAAAAAAACAGGCTATTGCTTTAGAATTAATAAAAGAGAATCCAAACTTTTTTCCACTTTAAATATTTTTTACTACATCATGGTTTGTTTGTATTAATCATTTCTATGAGAAGCAGATTTAGATTAGGGGGTCTTAAAGCTAATAATTTTGAGAGGATCTCTATAAGAAAAGGGAATACAAAATACAGATAAGATACTGAGTAATGGATTTTGGAAGTGGACAAGGCAAGTGCTATATTCTTCGTGCTGTTTATGTAGATTAGATATGGCTCTCAAAGGCATATAATAAAACTGTTAACTTGAAATATAAAATAACCAGTCACTTAATCTTCTTTATGCTAACAAATGCGAAAATATTCTATAAGAAAATTGTTTTTATTTCACTTTTATTTTTTATGGGTATTTTATCAAGTTATAAACTTTTACAGTCGCAGTTTTGATCCTCAGCATTTTAAATACATCATTCCATTATCTTTTGGCTTCCATAGTTTCTGTTGAAAACTCAGGTGTTAAGTTTATTGTTTCTCCTTTGAAAATGATGTGTCCTGTTTTCTCTCCGTGCTGCTTTTAAGATTTTCTTGAAACCTTCAGTTTTTAGCAGTTTGATTACTGGGTGGTGGTTGTCTTTGAATTTTTTCCAGTGTGGGGTTTGTTGGACTACTTGTGTCGGTGGATTAGTGTATTACATTGGTTTTGGAATGTTCTCAGGCATTTTTTTCTGAAAATACTGCTGCTTCTCCTTTCTTTCTCTCTTCTTTTCTGGGACTGCAATTACACATGTATTGGACTGCTTTGGTTCCCAAATGGCTCTTATGCTCTGTTCTTTTCATTTATTTGTCTGTCTGTTTCAGTGTGAATATTTCTGTCTGCCTGTTTTTTGCTGTTACATCTGCTATGAAACTCACCCACTGAATTCTTAATTTCAGATATAGTATTTTTAAATTCTAAAATTATCATTTGATTCTTTTTCATAGATTTTAATTCCCTGGTGAAATTTTCTTTTCATCTACTGTGAACATTTTTTCTCTATTATCTTTAATATATGTTAAATAATTTTATAAAATCCTTTTATCATCTGTCGGCCTGCTTGTATTTATTATATTTCTCTTGGTTACTGGTCACATTTTCTGCTTTTTTCCGTATTGTAGTTTTTATTGTATGCCAAATATTGTTTATAATAGAACAGTGGAAATTGAGGTAAATTTTATTTTCCCTCAATCCTCTATTAGAAGGATTAATCACCTCAGTTCAACCAGGAATTGTGCTGGGTGGAGTCTGGATAGCAACTTTGTTGTTGTTGTAGGTACACATAATCTAAATATCTTAAGGGCAAGACCTCTTGTGTTATAGGTTCTTCTCTCTAGTGTGACTTTATACTTAAGGTGTTATGAAACTATGGGAGATTTTACTCTGCCTTTCTGGCCCTGATACCTTTTATTGCTTCCGCCTGGTCCCCAAGGGAGTCTTTTGATTGCGAGCATATGTTTTGAGGGCAGACCTGTTGAAATGCTACACTGAATGTTGTAGGCTACACCTGCTGTAGTGTAACTTTGACTCCTAAACACCACATAATTACAGAAAATATTGCCTGCCTTCTGACCCAGAATCCTGTCCCAATCCTCTGTGCCATTCTCTTGTTGTTATGTGCCATTGAGTTGATTCCAACTCATAGAGACCTTATAGGACAGAGTAGATCTGCCCCATAGGATTTCCTGGGCTGAAATCTTTATGGGAACAGATCACCAGGTCTTTTCTCCTGTGGAGCAGATGGTGGATTCGAACTGCTGATCTTTCAGTTAGCAATTAAGCCCTTCAGCAGATCTCCCAGGGAGAAAACTTTCTGTGCATTTGTGGCTCCACAAGATTCCAATCTGTCATGCCAGCCCATGAACCGTCTAGAGTTCTGCTGGTTTCTCTTTTTCCTATTAGTGTCCCTTTTTCTGAGCCTTAGACTACGTCTAAATGGCAGTCTCCCAGAAATGAAAACAATCAGCAGGCTCAGCTCACCTAAGAAGAGATCTTACTTTTCTTCAAGTTTCATTTTTTTATTCCTTTTTTTTCCCATTGCTTTCCAATATCTTTATTTATTGATTGATTGATTTTGGTAAATTTATCTCTTTTTTTCTAGTTGTTTTTGTGAGAGTAATGACTTACCACTATGTACTAGTAAATTAGTTTTGTAAAGGTAACAACAAAAGTTAAATGTTATGAAAGACCCACGTTTACTATTTTATATATTGTATTTATTATGTCTGTCTGCTTAAATTATTTTGTTATTGAAATAGTGGCTTTTTGTTGAATATTAATATTTGTTGCTAAATCTAGCAGACCTAGAAGTTGATCAGTATTGATGGTTGGAAAACCTTATTCAGACAGCCAGTTTTAATTTCACAATTGCTTTTGGTCAGCAGTAATTTTAAACAAAATATAGATAAAAAATATGATTCACAAAATATATCATTTTTTGAGGGCTTTCTTTTAATTTAGTATGACTTAGTTTTCAAAATATTAAATCTTAAAGAAATCTTTTCAAGCCATTTAATTTAAACCCATCGTTTTATTTCATAGTTTTACATTTAAGGAAATTAATCCTAGAGAGATTTTGTGACTTATCAAAGATCACTGAGTACGAATCTCTCACTGGAAGGTAATTAAAACTTTATACACTTAAAATATCTTGAATGAACTTTAGATGCTTCTGTCTTCTGCATATATTCACAATACCAAATCCTTCAAACTGTTTTGTTTAATTAATTTTCTTTTCTTTCCCCCTTTCCTGTTTAGTGAGTGATAGTTGCTTCAGGAATCTTGCAGAAGATCGCAGTGGGATAAATCTCAAAGATCTGGTACAAGATCCTTCTTTGTGAGTATTTGGTTTTCACTACTAAATATAATTTAAAACTTTATGATTGGTGTTACTGTTTTCAAAAGATTCGTAATTCAGAAGTGATTTAAGTTAGAGCAATTTCTGCTTTTCTAACGGTTTGTGTTCCACATAGTGAAACCTGATGGCATAGTTTCTTTTTAGGAGAAGAGATTTTAGAAGAAGGGATGATGTCATGATTAATGATTAACTTTTGACTAGCAATATCTTGCCAATGTGACAATAGTATTAGATAGGGAACATGCTTAATCGTTTATTTGCTTTGTAAAGTGAAATTGAATTTGTTCACATCTACTTTAAGCTTTTTCAAATATATTTTAGATTAGAAAGGTATATATGGCACAGGATTTTTGGAGTGTTTTATAGGTTTCAATTTTTAATTTTTTTGCTTGCATCAATCTCATTATTCATCAGCATATAGTTTACTCTGATATCACTTTCTGTTTCCTAAATTAATTTTTTTACAGTTTTATGTACTGGAAAAGATGCATCCTATCTGCTATATGAACATAACACCTCAGTAGGATTATTCTTATATATATATGTGGAGTCCTGGTGGTGCAGTGGTTAAGAGCTTTGCTGCTAACCAAAAGGTCTAAATCAAGGCTAGTTAAGCCATGAGCAGCAGAAAAAGAAAATTGAGTGGTAGCAGGTGCTTTCTTTAACTATGTTTAATGTATGCAATAAAATATATTATAATAAGAAATCAGTCTTTTCCAGATCACATGTGATCTACCCTCCCAGCAATTTTGGTAGAAAACCAATGAGAATTTTGTGAGGAATAAAACACAAGCATATATTGAATCTGAAAGTTATTGATTCCTTAATGATTGACCAGTCATATTTTTTTTAATATAGCCACGAGAGACAGAGAGCTGAAAATGTATCGAAGATTTATGATTATAATGTAATGAGTTCAGAATGAGTTTCCAAACCCAAATCTCTTCCTTTTTTTTTTCCTTTTTCCAGTCTTTTTTCCTCACTCAAAAGTGTTGCCAGTATTCTTTCTCCATGATTTTTATTCCTAGGAAGATTGATCGTTCTCCCTTCAGCCTTGTAAATACCTAATCAAGGACACAATGCAATTTTATGTAGCTGTACATATACCTAGTAAATGAATATTGGTTAACAATTATTTGCATATAGAGTTCTGTTTTCCTTATGGATATGAGAGGAAACTATAAGTTTTGAAAGATTTTACCCATTTGCATGAATAAAAAAGAATTCCATTATTATATTACTTGTAAGGTATTTGGTGCAATAAGTTTATATATCTGTTAATGTAATCTTTGTGGAAAAAACAGGCTTATATGCACTTTAATGATACAAAAGCTGTGGAGAGACGGTTCAACAATGGATGATGATAGTGAATTATAGTATTTTGAAAGAATTTGGTACTTCTTCCCAGAATGTGGAATAATATTCATTATGCCACTTACCGCTAGATTCTAAATTCATTCTAGATTCATCTTAGACCACTACTGTAATGGATAGACAAAATAATTCTCAGTCTCTGTTTTAAAACAGGTGGCTCTCTTAATTTAACATCATTCTCTTGACAGCATTAATCTCTTGGCATTAGTTATTCTGGTATGGAAAAACGTAAGAACTCAGTGAGGAAGAAATAGTTCTTGCCCCTGCTTATTTGAGTTTGGAAAGGTTTTTTTTTTAATTTAAAATTGTCAAGGTATGCTATTAATGACTCTGTATTTTAGGGATAGATTTCTTACTTGGTTAAATTCTTTAAGGAAAGAAATGCCCAGTGTGGAAAAAAATACTTTATTCAGTTGTCATGATGGGAAATATTTTATTCTGAATTCTGTTCCTGTGGAAATTGTTTTCATTTAGTATACACCTTATGAGTGAAAATTTATTTAAAAAGCCACCTTCCTCTTTTCTGTCCCAGACTCTTGACAGTAATCCTTACTACTAGTTCATTGATTTGTGTATATTAGACGATTCTGTATGGAGTTGAATTGTTGATATTTCAGTATTCAGTAAGAAATATGGCTGAAATGTCTTTGTTACCCAAAAAAAAAAAACCTTCTTAAAAATTACTGGCATTTGATGAGTACTCCAGACTAGTGTATTAGTTGTTAAAATTGTACATGTGGTTTTAATAAATGTTCCAAAATAAAAGTATATTATGATAATAAGATATGCATATTGAATGAATGTTTTATATGTTAATATGCCTGGAAGATTTTATTATGATTCTTCTACCTGAGCTCCTCATGCTTAAAGCAGTTGGTGGTAAAGGAAAATCAAGTATTTCAAGCACCAGTGTTACTTGAAAGGAGAGAGTATAATAGAGGAGGAAAAGGTAGGCTGCAGAGAACCTAGGCTGATCTGGTCAATATTGGCCCTCAAAGCAATGTTGCATGAGTCTTAATCAGATAAATGAGTAGATATGGAATTTTTGTGGAGACTGAATTAAACTGAATCAAAGTTTTCTCTCTATGTATGTAAGTGTGTCTATGTGTGATTATACTTCAGCTAGTCAGAGCAGAGATGCCAGGTTTACTGCCTCAGAGAAGATTGAAACGACAGAAACAAAGTGACTGTTTCATACTCTGAATCCCAACAGTTTCATTTTGTTATACATAAGGTTGCTATGGGTTGGAACCAATTCCATGACAAGGGTACATGACAACACCTGACAACAATCTGTAATTTACCTAAACAGTGTATATAGTAAATACCCAGCATTGTGCTTCAGTTCTGGTAAAACTAATTACTAGTTTAAATGAATTGAATGAGATATACTGTACACCTCTTTAAAGTGTTGTAAAGCAAAGATGTCACCATGAAGACTAAGGTGCACCTGACCCAAACCATAGTGTTTTCAGTTGCCTTATATGCATGCGAAAGCTGGACAATGAATAAGGAAGACTGAAGAAGAATTGACGCCTTCGAATTATGGTGTTGGCGAAGAATATTGAATATACTGTGAACTGCTAAAAGAATGAACAAATCTGTCTTGGAAGAAGTACAACCAGAATGCTTCTTAGAAGCAAGGATGGCGACACTATACTACACATACTTTGGCCATGGTATCAGGAGGGATCAATCCCTGGAGAAAGACATCATGCTTGGTAAAGTACAGGCTCAGCGAAAAAAAGGAAGACCCTCAACGAGATGGATTGACACAGTGGCTGCAACAGTGGACTCAAGCATAATGATTGTGAGGATGGTGCAGTACCGGGCAGCATTTTGTTCTGTTGTGCATAGGGTTGCTATGAGTCGGAACTAACTCGATGCCACCTAACAACAACAACATATATTATGCTTATGCTGACTGTGTGTATGGGGTGTGTGTCTCATTTAATTTGCAAAAGCTCTTAAAAATTTAGGGCCATTCTAGGTATGTTTTATGTCAGACATTTAGAGGAAGAATTATTTAATTCATGGAAGTATTGGTCATTTCTAAGTGTGGCACATATAATTTTTTTTTTTAAATTTTTCCCATACAAGAATTTATACATACATTGTTATGTGACTGTAATTGCTCTCCCCATACTGTGACAGTACACTCCCCCTTTCCACCCTTGATTCCCCATGTCCATTCAACCAACTCCTAACCCTCTCTGCCTTCCCATCTCACCTCCAGACGGAAGCTGCCCATTTAGTTTCTTGTATCTACTTGACCTAAGAGGCATATTCCTCACGAGTATCATTTTATATCCCACAGTCCAGTCCAATCCCTGTCTGAAGAGTTGCCCTCAGAAACGGTTTTAGTTCTGGGCTGATAGAGAATCCAGGGGCCATGCTTTCTGGGCTTCCTCCAGTCTCAGACCATTAAGTCTGGTCTTCTTACTAGAATTTGAGTTCTGCACCCCAACTTTCTCCTGCTTCATCTGGGACTCTCTGTTGTGTTCCCTGTGAGGGCGGTCATTAGTGGTAGCTGGGCACTATCTAGTTCTTCTGGTCTCAGGATGATGAAGTTTCTGGTTTATGTGGCCTTTTCTGTCTCTTGGGCTAATACTTCCCTTGTGTCTTTGGTGTTCTTCATTCTCCTTTACTCCAGGTGGGTGGGACCAATTGATGCATCTTAGATGGCCGCTTGCAAGCTTTTAAGACCCCAGACGCCACTCACCAAAGTAGGATGCAGACATTTTCTTAATAAACTTTATTATGCCAGTTGACCTAGATGTCCCCTGAAAGCATGGTCCCCAGACCCCTACCCCTGCTACTATGTCTCTCAAAGTGTTTGATTATATTCAGGAAACTTCTTAGCTTTGGTTTAGTCTGGTTGTGCTGACTTCCCCTGTAGTGCGTGCTGTCCTTCCCTTCACCTAAGATAATTCTTAACTACCATCTAGTTAGTAAATAACTCTCGCCCTCCCTGCCCACCCTCGTAACCATCAAAGAATGTTTTCTTCTGGGTTTAAACCGTTTCTTGAATTCTTATAGTAGTGGTCTTATACAATATTTGTCCTTCTGTGACTGACTAAATTCACTCAGCATAATGAGTTCCAGCTTCCTCCATGTTATGTTTCACGGCTTCATCGTTGTTCTTTACCGTTGCGTGGTATTCCATTGTGTGGATATATCATAATTTGTTTATCCATTTGTCTGTTGATGGGCACCTAGGTTGTTTCCATCTTTTTGCTATTGTGAACAGTGCTGCAGTGAACATGGTTGTGCGTGTATCTATTCGTGTGACGGCTCTTATTTCTCTAGGATATATTCCAAGGAGCAGGTTAGCTGGATTGTATGGTACTTCTATTTCTAGCTTTTTAAGGAAACGCCAGATCGATATCCAAAGTGGTTGTACCATTTTACATTCCCACCAACAGTGTATAAGTGTTGCAGTCTCTCCACACCTCTCTAGCATTTATTATTTTGTGTTTTTTGGATTAATGCTAGCCATGTTGGGGTGAGATCATATCTCATTGTAGTTTTGATCTGCATTTCTTTAATGGCTAATGATCGTGAGCGTTTCTTCATGTGTCTGTTAGCCACCTGAATATCTTCTT